AAAGAAAGAAAGAAAGAAAGAAAGAAAGAAAGAAAGAAAGAAAGAAAGAAAGAAAGAAAGAAAGAAAGAAAGAAAGAAAGAAAGAAAGGCTGGCTTAAACAGGACACACTTTTAAAAGGTGTCAAAAGACGAAATGGAAAGGAAAAGCAAGCCTGCACACCCACCTGCTTCAAATAATGCATATCTTCAAGTACCTAAGGCAGTGGTTCTCAAAGAGTGGCCCAGGGGAAGCTGGGGGACCCCAAGGCCCCTTGGGGGGTCCATGAGATCAAAACTAATTCCAGAACAATATTCCCCAAACTGCCCACCACAGGAAACTGCCCACAAACCAAGACTCCCGGCTCCTCACTTTCCTCACTGTGCTGATATTTGCACTGATGACACGAAAACAGTAGTCGATAAAACCATCGGAGACATGAACCTATGTGTGGCGTCAAACTGCACTAGCAGTCCTCGTATTGCTCACAATGTATTCTTTCAAGAAAAGGAGCCTCGCTTAGGAATGTTCTTGATAAAGCAGTGAGAATTACTCATTTTATTAAACCTCAACACTGATTCTCTCAAGGAAAAGCATTTGTGTGCTAGAGTTGTGAATTGAACCAGCTACTTTTTCATGAACGCCATGAACAAATAACATAGAACAAATGATGGCCAAACTATGGATACTTATATTCGGGTATGGGGCATACATTTTCCTAAAAATTAACAAAGTGAGCCTTTCACTTCCAGGAAAACAACTAGAAATTGTTAGCATAATAAAATTGGAACTTTCAGGCAAAAATATGAACTTTGGAAAATTTGTGTCTGCCACCATGACTTTGACAGCTTCCCAATACTTGAAGACTACTGATGAAATCAGTGGTGATATTAACAAATGTGGTGGGGGTTTTTTGCTTTTTTTGTTTTGTTTTGTTTTGTTTTGTTTTGTTTTTGAGATGGAATCTATCTCTGTCGCCCAGACTGAAGTGCAGTGGCATGATCTCTGGTCACTGCAACCTCTGCCTCCCGGGTTCAAGTGATTCTCCTGCCTCAGCCTCCCAAGTACCTAGGACTACAGGCATGTGCCACCACACATGATTAATTTTTTGTATTTTTAGTAGAGACGGGGTTTCATAGTGTTGGCCAGGATGGTCTCGATCTCCTGACCTCGTGATCTGCCTGCCTCAGCCTCCCAAAGTGCTGGGATTATAGCTGTGAGCCACTGCACCCGGCCAAATGTGGTTTATTTATATGTGTGTGTGATACATATAAATATGTATATATATTGAGTAATAAATGATGTCAGCATTTAGAAGATGTACATAACTCAGTTAACCAATATTTTCCAAATGATCAATATATGAAGTCACAAAGTGACAAAGTTTGGATAAAAGATCCATTAAATTTTAAGATGGACCAGTTGATTCTAATGTAACAGAGAACAAAGAATTCATTGATATGGTTTCAGACTCTACGTTGCAACTAACCTTTGAGAAACCAGCACTTGTTGGGTTTTGATGTAATACGAGAGAAGAATATCCACAATTATATATTTAAAGGCTATTAATGTATTCATCCCCTTTGCAACTACTTATCTGTGAGAGATTGGATTTTCTTCAACTCTTCGACCAAAGCAACATATAGCAATACCTTGTATGCAGAAGTAGATGTGATAATCCAGCTGTCTTCTTTGAAGCCATACAGTAAATATGTCTGCAAAAATGTAAAAAATAAACACTCTTCTCACTAGCTTTTGATATATATATATATATAATTATTTTTAATCGTTTAAAAATGTGGTAATATGTAATGTGTTTATTAATGGTACTTTAAGTGAGTTAATAAATCATTTTAAACTTTTTAAACTTTTAATGTAAGTAAATATTGATACATATAATCCACAAAAGCTCTTTGGGATACTAAATAACTTCTATGCGTACATATAAAAGGATCCAGAGAGCAAAAAGATTGAAAACCTGGGGCCAAGGGAATCCCACAGCCTGTCCTGATGCAGATAGACCACAAGGTGGCAGCATGCGTCCTCTGATAACTCCGGAGCCACCTTTACTTACTAGGAGTCTCTGAGCAACCTCTTTTCTCTATCACTCCCCACCACTTCCTTTCTTATCTTCATGCTTCTGTGTTGCACGTCTTTTTTTCTTTTTTTTTTTTCTAACTAGCTTTATCCACCAACGCCTTCATAATTACAGGAAATAGCAATCTCCTAAGCATAAGTTCTGGCCAAACCAAGCCAGTCATTCATTTTATTCTGCAAACATTTATCAGGTGTCACTCATATGCAAAGCTTATCATCCAGGGATGAGTACATTGAGAACACTGTTCTCAAGTAGTTAATAATCTGATGAGGGAGACAGATCCAAAGGCCAGTGATTATAATACCTGCTGAGTGTGAAAACCCTTTATTCTTTACAAAGGGCTGTGGACTTCAAAGGGAGTCCTGAGAGCAGAGGACGCCAAAAGTCAGATGCTGAGATACTCACCAAAAATGTCTGCAGGGATCTGGAACCTAGGCACATAGTGAGGGAGAAAGCCAGGTTCCCAGGAGATTGGGGAGGAGAAATGATTGGAGCAACAGAAGCCAGGGGACAAAAGGGAATGCCAGCTTTCTCAATTTTGAAAGTAGTTTGTCTGAGAAATTGGGAGGATGGTGAGCAGAGACAGCCAAGGTGGAGACAGGGGGAGGGGTCAAGACTTGGGGAAGCTTAGGTTGAATGTCTCGGAAGCCAGATCACTGGAAGGTCTTCACTGTGGATGCTGGAGCGGCCCAGCATGGAGGCAGGGAGTGGGGCTGCGGTCAGCAGGGGGCCTCAGAGAACTCAGGATGGCCAGTCAATGGAGGCCACAAGGATGCCAGGGGTGGTCAAAGCTTGGTGTAGACTGAACCCAAACGTGGTAGGAAAATGGTCTGAAGCTACCCGTGGATAGCTTCTCTAAGTCATCCTAATGTACTAGAGTCTAGAATGAGCATTGGGGAAATGGGGGATGTCAGGGGGCTTGTGGTTAGGAGACCCATATCCAGAGATCTCCAAGGAAGAGCACCTGGGACTCCCAGCAAGGAGGAAGAGAGGGAGCGGAGGAATAGGCAGCAGGCTGGGCACAGCCTGAGTGGGGCTGGGCCTCAGGCAACAGAGTCCCTGT